GTTGTTTATTAAACAATTATGGTGAATTATATTAGTCACTTTAGCTCTACTTTTGTTACTCACAAAGAATTTATACTCTTTTTGATATGTGTAGATCCGAATTCTTACTACTACACATGTGTCTTTAGCAAATTCAGCTATCTAGTGGGTCTGTAAGTGAATTTATTATCTAGACAAAAAACGCAAACACTTAAAAATCACTAAAAACAGATTTGCAAGCCCATAAAACGCCCGGTTATTTATGCGAATTTGATAGCTTCAACCGCAAGCGGAGGCATCAGAAGCAACAACTTGGATCCAACAGGTGTATATATTTTGCTAACGTCTGCACAATCGAATATAAACCCTGTTGGGTAATAATGCGGGCAAGAGCAATGGCTTGTGACCCTACGGCCATAAATATCCCCGGGACTCCTCGGGAAAAGCAAGGAACAGCGCAACGGGCCCGATTCCATCGCTTCTTAGCTATTTTAAACAGGACCGGCTTTGTTAGTTCAAGTGTTTATACCTATGTATAACGAATTAAAGCCTTTATCACTATATTACGAAATACATAATAAATTTATAAGCAATAAAAAACTGTAATTCGCGGGTATAATAGCGAATTGATAGGCCTACAACTTGTACTTTGAAATAATTTATATGATACCGGTCCTGATTGTTGGGGTTTAGACATGTGTTGAGATTGTTGGGAGAGTTGTTCCAGATGCATTTTCATGCGACTAATTTTAACAAGTACGTTTTTGAACATGTCAATTTTGTTTCCGTTCTTTTGTTGGGATTTTAAATTATTGGCTTGCGCAAAGCCTAAAAGAATGGCAGAAATCTGACCCGCTATATGGTATGGCCGTGACGAATCCAAAAAATACCTACATTGTCGAATTTGCCTAAGAGTTTTGCGCTTCTAGTAGCATATTACAATTACCCTATATCAAAGTTACGTAGTGTTAATTATATTGTTATAATTTATAATACATTTATTAATCTCATTAGGCAATTATTTAGCTTTCCCTTCGATATAAATTATTATTATTCTGTAAACTGGGCTGACATAGTAGGACATTTTTATACAATATAAATGTTATTGAGTACTCGACTATATCATAGAAATCGTGCCTTTTTTAAAATAATAATTCCGTACCCACCATAACGTAACCATACGAAAGTCATGCTCTACAGAACACGAAAGGATTTTTGACACGTTCAATACAACAATTATAAACCAAATACTATTGTATATTTGAGAGATACATAAGACCAAAAACGCGTAAATCAAGCACGCAACGTCTAACCCTCGAAGATGGCCTTTCTTTTACCTGAAAAATTACACTGATAACGCGGCTTGTAAGTGCGTCTTGAATGACTCCGCCGCATTGTTTGGAGATAATTTAAAAAAGGGCGATACAGTCGCTAAACTTTACGACGTGTGAAGAGGGCAATGAAATTTTCACCCCATTTCAATTTGAGATACAAAGACTACTTTAGGCTGAGGAAGATTTATTGTTAACGGGGTTTTATTGTCCATATTCTATGCTAGATAAATATAATATTGTGATGCTTTATTTAATTTTGAACTTGGTACAAAGCAATGGGTATCTGTAACTTCCTATTGAGTATCGATGAAACAGAAAAGCATAGCTTTCTTTAATAAATAAGTGGGCTTTATTAATATTTATTTATTGAAACTCTGTACTGTATACCTACTCATTATCAAAACACAAATGCAACTGAAATCTTATCGCAAAAAAATCCGGTATGTTCGTAGCAAATGTAGCCTATTCAAAAGTACAGTGTATTGCTTTTAATTTCTCCTATCATTAAATAACTGGAATGAACGTGAAAAAACAGTAATTCGAAATGTTTTGTTGATAAATAAATAACAGGACAAGTTAATAGTACCAAATTAATATGAATTATGTGGAAGGGTTAATCCTACACTTTATAAGGAAAATTTGCATTTAACATCTTAATTAGCATGGAGTTGTTCGTATATGCACCTTTTTCTTTCTTATTCTAGCTTGACAAGTTTTACGCCCATGTGTTTGCTAACACCCAAGGATGATTTTTTTATTTTCCGTCTCGAATTTTTTACTCTACCCTGTACTTATTGCAATATTCATACGACGCGAAAATTACCGATAATATCGTAATGGGATTTGGGTTGTCTGGACATAAGCGAGTACAGGATATTCTTCATTTTTCATTCGCTGCGTGCATGCCAAGCAATTAATTCAATACTGCTTTAGTACGTAAGTCGCTTAGCAACTAAAATACGGCGAAAAATAATTTATTAGCGCTAATTGTATTAAGAACGTAATTTATTTTTGCTATACAATTTTAATAAAAAAACTTCCTTTTGCTTTCTATGAATATAAATTATAAATAACGTAAGCTCGAATTGCTTGTAAAAATTGGATCACATGATTTAATTTTTCATATAGGTTCATCAATTCCGTTTGAATATTTATGAAGATATATAAAATAAAATTATTCACATAACAAGGTAAAGTATATAATTTATCAAAATGTTTTTTAGTCGAAATTTAATATTATGTAAAATATTTTGAATTACACTGTTATATTTTGTTCAAGCTATTTGAACATGCATTTATAAACTCATAAACTTTGTAAAATATAATCTATTAGTGATTAGGTTTTTGCATTTAATGTATATCCTTGAACGAAAAGGTCCGTACCGATACATAATTTATCATTGTTGCACCTAAGTACAACTTATTAAACGATAAAAAACAGTCAAAGCGGAAAACCGGACTGAACTCACGTTAAAATAAATTGTACCGGTAATGTCTGCGATTAAGATGTAAAAGTATACAGACAATTAAAGATGAAACTAAACGAATAAGATAATAATAGAGTAGAACAACCGAGGGCACGATTCGACATCGCATAAAAAATGTTATACGCCCCTGCAAATCTTGACACTATTCGTTATATAGTCTGCATTCGACCATCTATAGAGAAAAAGGAAAAAAAGGAAAAGGGAATCGACGCAAGCGAAAGCATTGCCTCTTGTTCTGGCAACATAATAATTGCTTGTACAACTTCATCGGATTTTTTTTCTGATCGCCAAGTCGATTCTCCATTCGTTAAAGGGAGTGGGATTACATTAAAGAAGCGATCTTATGTGATTACTATCGTTGTTATGAATCAATCCATTTATACAGTACGGAAATATTTTTTGTTCTTTTACTAACCAAATGTTATGAACTCGTTTAATTATCATTGGTGCTGCATGTTATTTAAAAAATAGAAAAAATATAAAGTAGGCAGTATAATAAAAAGCAATAAATATAGTGAAAATAGTATTAATTTAAATGCATTGCGAATAGAATTTATTGAAAAATTAGAAATACATGTAGAACCTACTAAATAGTTTAGATACCTACTTTAAACAATTTGTGGCAAAATGTAGAATATCGAAACCATGTCATTAATAAGTAGTTCATCTTTATGCACTCGATGCACAGCAATGCACCTTTTACGTAACGTTGTACCGCCCATTAATTTAGACGGTATTGTACTATTCATTTTAAATATGGTTGGGAACTGCGCCTATCAATTGAATTAGCGTCTGCCTTTTCACTATCAATGCAGCGAAATTGATAGTGTTTCGAATTGCAGTGATTATCATATGAATAATAATGAATTTTACGCTGGGATATGTATTCACCTGTACTAGTTTTATTTCATTTCAAACAAATTTATTTCGCCATGTTTACACAACGAAAGATTGTTAGGGAATAATCAAATTTAACAATGTTAGAGCCATGATAGATATTTCCTGCAAATTATTGTATACCCATACCAGTTTATTAATATGTGCCTTTAGCAATTCGTGAAGTTGATATACAAAATTGAAACGGTAAAATTTTTTATAAAAATGTTTCAATTTTTAAAAAACAAGATACCGTTCATCAAATTATAGGTAAATCGTAAAGGAAATATTGTAATCAAATTAAATATAATAATTTGATTATTTTTGTTTGATAATTTTTACTAAATTGCCTAGTAAAAAAATTAAGTCAAAATTCATAATTTCGAATTCGCTGCAGTTATTAAAAATACCAAAGAACATTAGTTGCAATAAATCTCAATTCGGTCCCATGTCATGATTCATTCCGCACTTACATTAATATTTAAAACAGAAATATAAGAGTAAAGTGGCCGGTTTTTGATCTTGGGCCCTACAGGACGGGCCGAACCGCTTGATTTATTACCTCCTGGCGACCCGAAGCAGCCCTTCGCCCTAATGATACATCCTTTTGATTTACGTCGTATTAGTAAACTTGGCACGACGGGACGATAATTGTTGCATTATGGCTATCAAAACAAACGGTAGATAATTTACTCGGCCGAATGCAAAAAATGACAAATTTATTGCTTGTATACAAATCGCGGTAATTTCGTATCGTTTACAATGGTTTGTCGGGAGGAGCGATGTTTTATGTAATTGCTGTTTAATTTTAGAAGGTTTTTTTGAACATATTAATTATAGTATAAGTTATAAATAACTGAATAGTTATCAACATTTTTTGTTTTTTTGCAGATTTAGGTGCGTCGAGTAAAATTAAAATGGTAAGTATCTACATACATAGATATACATAATAGTTTTAATGATTTTTTATTCTCTCTATATATTTTTAATACCTATTCCTAGAATGATTAAAATTTGATATTTTAATTTAATTAAATGACTGTAAGTAAGAAAATGCCTAGATCTAGTTATGGTGAAATATACTGTAAAAAAATGTCATACTCGAGTTAGTCACACGATAATAGCGAAGAAAGCATTAGATATCCCTACGTATTCGTTCCTATCAATTATCGGCCAGACAGGTATCTATTAAATTGATTAATGGTTTTATAATAACAATAATACCTTTCATTATTTTCTTCAATATATTTTCTTTTAATCTGTTACACCTCCACTTGTATTTTTTCACTCATTCCATAAAAGTATTAGCAATATTTGTACTTACTTTGACCAAGATGAACTCTCTTCATCCACGGGTAAATTTGCGGCGGATTCTGCGAACCCCCTTTGCTATTATTATTAGATCCGGATTTCTCGTTGCTCGACGTCGAGCTGGTGCTCGATGCTGGAGAGGAAAGATTCTGCGAAGCCGTCGAGGAGCCCGTGGGCGGTTTTGCACTAGGGGATGTACTGACCGATAGAGGGGACGTTAAACCGGAACTTTTCGAAGTAATAGTCGCGTTAGAATTGTTGCTCGCCTGAGCGCTGTTTAACGGTGGCGTAGCCCGAGCTGGAGGGCCGCTGGTGCTAAGATCCTGCGGCGAAGCTACGCCTGTAGAAGATGTGGAATCGGCGTATTTACAACTAGCTGCCGGAGGATTTAGCATTCCGGGACTTTGCCCGCCAGGACTAGGATGGTGCAGGTGCGCGTTGGTACCTCCTGGCATTCGAGTAGGTTGCAATTGGGTGTAATCCCCCATGGTCGGTTGAAGACTGTGTCCTGGTGCAGGAGTAGCGTAAGGATGAGGAGTGTATTGCGGACCAACCTGCGGTGGCGAGTAACATGCCGGAGGGTAATTAGCAGCAGCTGCTGCGTTCGGGTTGTAATAATCACCTCCTGGACTGGCGCCTTGATGGGCCTGCTCGCCGGATCTGCCTTGCTGTCCATAGCACTGAGCTAGAGAATTCACGAATTGATAAGAACTCATTTTTTTCCGATAGTTCAATTCTCCAGTTTCTTACATAGCGTATACCACAAAAAATAAGTCAAGTCATAAATTCGACGAAGACACTAATAGACCAATAAACACAACACTAAACGCTGGCACGTGACCGGAGAATATAAAACTGTCCAACAAGTTTTACGATCTCGAATTAAGTGGCATTAAAAGACGACATCGTGTGCTGGAGAACGAGTTTCGAGTTACCGTGGACCACCTCACGTGGGGACCTATGTGATAGTGACAGACGCGTCGCGTTGAGACGATGAGTTAGCGGCGCCACGACTGGGCAATACCACACGTTCATTGGGTTTAGTATACCGGGATGCGATGTACTCGCAACAGTCGTGGTCGCGGGGCGTAAGAGCCTTCCGCGGCGACGAGGACGGACCGGCAGGCTGGGCAACGGTGCCGACGGAGAAGGAGCTATTAGAGGGGATAAGTGCAGGCCGCAGACTAACGGCACGTTAGAAGTTTGCGGGCGCAGGCCCGAGGAGGAGTTTCGGAGGGGCGAGAGGCGGGACTCGAGAATTCAAATTGATAATTTGTGAATTGTTTAAGATTTGACGCTCAGCTGAGCGGTGTGCGTCTATACCGGATTCCGGTAGCCGGGACTGATGGATCGCCTCGAGCGTAATTTTACGAAAAGATGTTAGGATATGAGATTGGTTCTGATGAAGTTCATTTAAAATCGTACGCGAGCGTGAGTTTCCTGGTGTTGAGGATTGAGTTTCTGTGGGTGTATTCCCACCTGTTTCCCTTTCGTTTAATCTAGTCAAAATTCGTACCGGAAATGAAACGGGATTTTTATATATCTTGTAGGTAAATTTTGTAAGTTTTAAAAGTTTAAGTTGCATAATTAATATACGAGGTGATTCAGATTTATAATGTACCGTAATTTCTAAAGATGGTCAAAAATATAGACATAATAATAATTACATAATCTACCTACACATTTATTTACTTTATATTTGAAATATGGATACTTAGGAGATACCTACATATTATTATATCCTACAAAGTTTCCAAAGTTGTAAAAAATTGTTATTTTTTTTAATATTTTAAAAATTAGGTAGGTACTATGAAAAAAGTTTCAAATCCTAAACACATGAACTTTTCATAAAGACACTTAATTTAATGTTATAAAAAATTCTTGTAATTAAGGGGTAGGTTGATAGGGGAATGTTTATACTACCTATAGATACTAGCTATAGGTATTGTTTTTCTGTTTTCACCATTGTAATCAGTTGCAGTAATGCTAATAGTTTGGTAATTTAACCGATGTCGTAATTTCAAAATTATAAAAGTTACCAACGACGAACACTTAATTTGGATAACCCTGTATATTTTTCAAACACCTATACGCATCTTTTTTTTAGTTTGATATCATATAAAAATTAAGGATGTTACAATTTTCTTCATATCTGTTATTATTATAGTTTTTTAATCTATAAATCATTGCGTCTCATGAAATTGCTCAATAGATCAGTTGTATATACTCATAGATATTCAAGGGTCTTATTTGCGAGGCTCCTGACAGCTTACAATGAATTTTTTGATTGTACCATCATGTATGTAAATATTTGCAATACCTATTACAATTTAACATGTACTTATTAGACAATTAAAAGGTTTCTCACAACTTGCAAGCGCAGAAAGAAAAATTATCCTAATTATGCTTCTTAAGAATTACTGCGTGTAATATACATTGCGCGATAATTATATGCAATATTTATGCTACTAATTATACAGATATTAGAGTAATTGCCGTACAAATTTAATTGAAGGTTATTAATGTGAATATCCTCAATAATTGAATAAATTGAGGCAAAAACAGAGATGATGTTGGCTAATTACTGTATCTTTGAAGAAAACGGATTCAAGAAGTTCCACATGCACGCATTATTTTTTACACCTATAACCTATTCAGAAAATTGTTCAATATAACATCTATAATAAACTGCTTCACAAAAGTTAAGGAAGTTCGCAAATTTTGCGATTATTTTAAAAGTTACAGACTTTTTGATCACCAAATTTTCAAATATGCGAAATTAAAAGTTTTCTCTCATATCTGAGTGGATTTTTTGTCCCTATACCTCTACAACTCATACTAAATTTAGCGATCAAAAAACCTGCAACTTTTTAATTAATCTCAATATTTGTAAACTTCCTTAACTTTTGTGGAGCAGTATATTTGTTAATTGGTTTTATCTATTAATTATTATAGGTAAAATTATAATTTAAAAAATGTTACTAAACATGAATGAATTATAATAATGAATTATTTTGTTGAAGAATGTTTTTTAGCCATTTTTTATTTTAGCTTTTTTATTATACGTTTCAAAAACCTTTTTGTTTTTTTAACTCTGTAGATGCAAATTCGTACCTACCTTTCTATTATAAGGTATTTAAAATAAGAATAGACTAGGTATCTCAAAGTGTATAGGAAAGGATTTTAGGGTATCTCAAATTGATTGCATCCTTGGTCACACCAAATTAGTAAAATTTGCATGAACGCAAAATTCGGTCCCCTAGATCATTTGTCGCCCGTCTATACAGGTATTTAAAGATTTGCAAATGAAATTTCAATAATATCTTCCCAGAACAAGTTAAACCCATTTGTACCAGTTGAAACGAGTTAGAATTCTTCGCATTATTGCATATAATTACGTAAAAGCCGACAGAAAAATTTTCAAAGATAACAGGCACGTTCGAATTTATCTTTGACAACAACGGCGACAATCAATTTCGCAAAAATGGAAGGTCGTATGCTTGTATTCAGTGTTTAGCAGACGAAATTGAAAAATTAGTTTTGGGTAAAATACAAACCTTTTCTTTTTCTGGTAGTCCTTGGGAACATTGTGCGAATATTTTCAAATAAAGCGCAGAATTTATCTTATAGGTTCTCTTTTGCTGCAGTAGAAACTCAATGTAAAGTAATGAGAAGATAGAAGAAATAGGTATAAGATATAGGTACAAGAAAATCTATTTCATTAAGCCAAACATGTCCTTTAGTTGTCACTTTAATTAAACTTTAACACCAGTGTTAATTATACTGATGATGTTCCAAATTAAATTTGTTTTGGAAAAACGAAAAACACTGACCTGTCTGATGTAGTTCTTCAAAGTGATTATTTTTTTATATTTACTATAGTATTAAAGATTTGCATTATTTGTTTACACTTCCCTCATTGCTTGTTTTTCATTACACAATTCTAAATATTAACCACTACTGTCAGTAATTCTTCTTCACAGTTCCCTATCTATGGTAATCGACCAATTACATTGCTGCTTGTGTTACCATAGGCGTAGAAAAGGTAATTTTTTTGAAATACTTTCTAGTTTATTCTACTTTTCCAAATAAATTCTGACTGATAAAACTTTCTGAAGCATTAATAAAACCATTAATTAAGATAATAAACCCTATCAAATAAGACTCGTAATTAGATATAGTAGGTAATTAAACAAATACTTACCACAAAATATACCGAATATTCATACACTTTTTACATTCTCACCGTAACAATTCGTGCTGTCAATCAGTAAGCAAAACATCCCAAAGTTCTGGTGTAAATCATAATATTTAGATATGAATCCAAACATTGTCTTTCACCAACTAAATTCTTGATAATTTCAACTGCTTAATCATACGTATAGTGGTTCCCAAAATAGCTGTTTGCATTTTATTGACACTTTTAAACAAACAACGCTGCATAGTCGAGGTGCTCGTGAGAGAAATTTTCATTGTGGATTATCGAAATGTGTTTATTTTATTTGAAAAGATGGAAAGTTATAGAGAACTTTTATACAAGATGGTCTAGAATTATTATTATCTAGAATCCTTATTATTCTACTTTCTATAGAAATAGTAGAAATGGTGGTATACCCTAATTGCAAAAAAATTAAAAAGCTTGTATCAGATAACATTGTATTAATCCATTAAAACTCAAAACATCTTAAATATTATGTGATTTTAAAAAAAATTTCCATCAGTATTTACAAATTGGAGAGAAAGCTTTTTTACAAAATAAAATAAACAGGGCGTTATTTTTTCTCAATCTGTTATTTCGAGATAATTAATGCGATGATGACAAGCTCTGTTATCATGTATTAAAAAAACAAAAAAAATATGGTGTAATAAATAGTGTTTACCCCTGAAAACTACAAGGGTATGAAATATGAAATAGTCCTTGTATTTTGTACAGGGGTGTTTTTTAATAACATATACCAATACTGAAGGGGCGATCTTGGGCCCATTTTAAGAAAAAAACTTCATATGAACCTACGTCCTAAACGTCTTAACTTTTAAGATATAGGGTGTTAAAGTTTTAAGAAAAAAATCAATTTTTTACTGTCATTTCCATACCACTTTAAATATTTTTATAAAATTTGGTGTACGGCGTTTATGCATTAAATGGCATTTTTTGACTTAAAACATTTTTTTATTTATGGTCCAGTTCGGACTCAGGCCAAATATTCTTGAGGGCAAAAGTGGTAGGTATGCCACTGCTTTCTTTTGAACAAATTTGATTTCTTGACTTTTTTTCGTACGACTCACCGTTTCGCATAAAAAATTAAATGCATTCATTTGTACGCTACCGCTAGGCATTAGCCGCTGATGGGCAGAAATTAGGTAATTATAAATTTTAGGTGTAAGACATATGTTCGTATGAAGTTTTTTTCTTAAAATGGGTCCAAGAAACACCCCCTTCAGTATTAGCATGCTATTTTAAGACATTTTCTAGAACTGTGGAACTGTGACATACCTACAGGTTGTCCCACTAGTACAGAAAAGCTCACTTAGGTACTCCGTAAAATTGCTATAAAATATCCAGTTTGTAATTAAACAACACATCAGTTATCGTATTTTTTATGGAAAGTGTGCGAATGACTCCCCGTTAGTTATACAATTGCCGAACTATTAGAGCAAAACCAGGAAAAAGAGAAAGAGTTTGAAAATGGCAGATAGATCTTGCGTTTGACAGGGTGGCCGGATAATCCATCAGCCGTGCGTTCGCGTCCCCCCGCGCGACCCTTCTCCCGTCGTCTCCGAGTTTGTCCGACCCGCGACCCTCCTGTCAGGGTTAGTGGAACACGTCACTGAACCTATTATGTACCAATACACACCCTTGCATATTCAGGGAGAGAACGGGACCGAGCCGGAGCCGCCGCGGCACATCTGGTCTAATGGAAGTGCGCTGTTTCCAATAACACGCGAACTTCACTTCGCCAGTTGATGGTCCGTCGACAGCTTTCGAAATTCGGGAATTCGGGAGTTCGCTTCCTCCTGCTTTTCCTCTCCGTTTTTCCCGACTCCATCAGCAGCCACTTACGACAGGATCATTTAAATTAGAAACTTCCAATTGATCGATTATTTTGTAATTGTAGAATTATACAGGGTGTTTGTAAATTACATGTACATATTTCAACCACATGTCAGGAATACTTTAAAAATTGATTTGGCGTTTTTATTTTTTTTTTAATACAAATGTTTAAATTTGAGACATTTTATAACATTTATCCGTTAATACAATCGGAGCTTGAGTAGGCAGGCTGTTGTTCTTCTTCGAAAAATAATTTTGGGATTTCCTCTTGCAAAGAATACAGTTCTTATATACAGTGAAAGTTTAATAAATATATGGTTTATTCACAAAAAGCTACATGTATATAAAAATTAAAATTTAGTAGGAAAATATTTCAGTAGATGAGAATATTAATGCCTGATTATATCATCAAATAATTAGTAAACTGTACAGGTACAGTTAATTAAATAACACCAATTCCAAATACCTGCTGAGTGTAACATTCCCTTAACGTAAACTCCCCTTTGTATATGCATCAAACGGACCTCGTTAATTCAAATAAGGTGAATGTAAAAAGCTCCTGCGCAAAAGTAAAAAAAAACACAGACGTATACATAATACCGCTAAACGCCAAATGATAATCCCCAATCACGCATCTGTTCAATGAATTCATACAGTGGAAACCGAAAGTAAGATAAATATTCCACGGTATCCATTAGAAGCCTAACATGATAAATTGATCAGTGGACAAAACAAACCATTAAAGATGTCTGAATGATGATGATTAAAATATAGGTTCACATCTCCCTCATGACATGGTCATTATCGGTTTATTGAAGATCTGCTTCTTATCCGAGGGTTAACACACTGACGTGTACGTTTCTGGAAAAAGAAAATTATGAAAAATGGTTGTTCCGTATAAAGTGACAGTAAAAATATTTTTCCAACTATCTAAGTATCTACTATAGATAATACTTTATTGTTATAGTCAATGTTGAATGTTAATTTACAGTTAAGATAATTGTTTAACAAGCTGCAGTAGTTGATATTATTGATAATATAACTGGTGATAAAAAACGGGTTATAAATGGTTTATTTAAATAGACAAAATCTGATAGGGTTTAGTTCCTACAAATATTCCAAACTATTGTACATTGATAATGCTTCATAACTTGAAATTTGTTTAAACTAATTTTAACGAAATTTTAAGGAGGAAATTTTTATTCATATTTATTTTAAGGTTTTTGTTATGGTTCTTTTTTCTGTAGATACCTACATAACGCTTGTAAAATTTTGTCAATTAATTCTTCTATTTCTAGAATAGGTATCTATTCTAAAGAGTAATTTTAATAGTTAAAATTTTAAATTTCAATCGTAACAATAATTTACTTTTTCTTTTATCTGCTTTCTCTTTAATTAAATTACCTATAATATAAATATTCCTTTAACAATATTGTAAGTAGGTGCATATTAATAATTTATTATGTATACCTACCTAGATATATTCACTCAGTTGTTTACAAAAACTAATTATGAAATGAGACGAAACAAAATATATCTAGACAAAATATACTCTTGCCTACAGCAGATTGTTGAATTCATTTCAGTTAAAATTCATTCATCATTAACAATCCCAATTCCTGTGCACAAAATAGTATTTGTTTAACTTAAAATAATACAAACAATTACATACTTACCTTATCAATAAAACTAGCATGTAGACACCAACAAACATATATTATTTCCAGTGAAAACCGCAGTTTTCACGCAGATATCACGACGAGGAACATGTTCAAACAGCCATCTTTAAACGCCGCCGAGCGCATGTCTGTGCTTTCAAGTTTCACCACAGCTGTTCTATAACCGGCATTCGTTTGTCGCTGACCCAAGCCAACTCTTCCTTCGTCGAGGGTTTCGCCGAATATTGGCCGTATAGGCACAATAATGCTTATAGAATTTTGACAGTTTCGACTGTGGTGGGCGATGAATTGGCATAATTTAGTGAAATGGTGGAAAGAAAAAGTGATGTAAAGGTTTAATATGTTTCTTTTTTAAATAATATTGGATACAAGGGTGCATAGGATAGGAATAATTTTAAAATAGTGCACGTGTAAATTAAATATGTATTCACAAATCGTATTATAAAGGTGGTTTAATAATATTTATTAGATATAAGTAGATAGTACCTACCTACTCTTTTTTATGCTTTCTAAAAAGAAGAACCTAATGCAGGTGTAGGTATAGAAAATTAACAATGTAACTCATATTACTTCTTACTATAGTAAATTATAATTTAATAAACTGAATTGGAACAAGATGGGTACCTATACTTCTAAGAAAGGTTTAATTAAAAATCCTTTACCCTGCACTTTCCAAAAATTAAAGTTTACCTGAACCCTTTAGTCTACCTAATTATCCTCAACACTAATACTTTCGAAAGAAATTTATTTACCTTAAAAGTTAATGGCTCTGTGGACAATAGAGTCAATTGCAATGGCCATAAAACTACATATAATAAAAGTGTTTTGAAGAAAATTTGTCAGCATTATCCGTCATAAGCTGGTTAATATGAAGTACTGTTGTCAAAATATTTGACAAAGTGCAAATTCCCATTGGGAAATCAGCGGGGTGACCAAAAGGGTTGCAAATAATATAAAATTGTGCTATAGGCATCAGGTATATAGGATATTTAAATTGTTATACGTAGACTTCTGTGATTTATATGTATATCTTATAGGTACAAGAGATTTTATAATTTTTATAATGACCAAATGAAAAAATTTCCGTTTTAATAATTTATTGAAAAATATACAATTTTCTTAAAATTAAATAAATATATTTATTATTCTTATTCTTCCTAATTATTAAAATTATTTATTTACATCAACTGGTATTATACTTTAAGTAAAAAATCGCCACAATAATCAAACACAAAAGACAGATAGGTAAATGCTTGTTACTAATATAACCTTATCGTTTTACACAATTATACACGCAAGGGGCATCAAAAACATTTCTATACATTATTGCATATAGAATCTAAAGGAACCATCGAATACCGGATAAAAATATACAATTTTGATATATGCTCTTTCAAGGTGCTGTTTCTTTTATTATAACCCTACATAATAAAATTGTGATGAATGTGGGTTATATTTCCTTAACTTTTACAAATTAGACAATATACAAATTCTAATTTGACCAAATTTGAATAATAATATATTTCAGCAGAATGGCAATTGAAGATGCCTAATAATTTTTTTACATACAGGGATTTCTTATTATTGTATGAGAAAATGCTGCTTATTGATTAAAAATAATCAATATGTATAAGTATGTTAAACTGCACTTCATTATATCTAGTAGATAGTTACTCATTTATTACTATAATTTGTGTTAATAATCGTTTTAATGAAATTTTTGCCCTGTGATTGGTACCAATCAAGGTACCAATTAAAAACCTAGTAGACACTAAAAGTTTACGTATTTTTCTTTGGTTTACACGTGTCTCTATACACACATTAACAGCACCTTTTCGAAAAAAAAAATTAAAAATTAAGGGGTAAGCGGCGGTCCGGGTAGATTTTTTAAAGCCGTTAAAGGCCTCGAAATGTCACCGTACGCGGTTCCGTTCTCATCACCTGTTGATATCTCTCGCGTTAATTCGCCGCCACCCCGACTGCAATCCCGATAAAAACTCTCCGAACGAAACGCACTTTGATTCATGTTGACGTCTTCGACGGCGGCGAAATCTTGCGTCGGGTGCACGCCGAATTTCCCGTCCTTCTTGGCCTTCATCCGGCGATTTTGGAACCAGATTTTAATTTGGCGCTCGGACAGGCACAACGTGTGGGCTATTTCGATCCGACGACGCCTCGTCAGGTATTTGTTGAAATGGAATTCTTTCTCGAGCTCGAGGGTCTGGTAACGCGTGTAGGTTTGCCGGGTGCGTTTGTTCCCTTTCGATCCTAAATCACCTTAAAAAAATATTTTTTTTACTATATCGAAATTACGCATAATTTCTCTTGATATTTTGGTAAATTTTAATAACATGGAAATATAGTAGGTGTATGTGTTTCAGTTACCATGTGAGGTTTTCATCCATGGAAAAAAATTGGTCTGAATGGCCGCTAAATTATCATTAGTGCTTTTGCCTTGGGGCAATGGTAATCTGTCCTCATCTTTGTTGAAAGCGGTCATATCGGCATCGTCACCGTCGAATTTGCTGCTGTCCTCTCCAGTATTACCGAAGCCCTCATCAAAATAATTTTTTTGATGACCATTATTCGCCGTTTTATGCAGATCGTTGTAATCGTAGGCAATTTTCTTGCCGGTCGGTTTCGTTAATAAGGCCCGTAATGCCGGGGAATCCTCCATTTTGGTTTTTTTCTGAAAAATGTATAGTGTTTAAGTGGAACGCTTTATTATACGAATTAATACATTAGGTTGTTTGATCGGTTTGAAATGGCTTTCTAGTGGGCTTGAATTTCTGATATCGGTGCGAAATTAGGAAATTTAATTAAATAAAATTGTTTGAAGAGTGCTTACTAATTAAGAAATTGCATTCAAAAAATAAAAATAATCCTAAAGTGTGTTCATTTTTCATTAGATAGTTAAATTGATTCAATTTAAAGTACCAGTGCCGGAAATTGGACATATTAACAAATTTATATAAACATCTATTTTTCTACTAATTTCGACAATGCTATAATATCTAGAGATTTAATTTATCTATCTATTGAATCAAGCTACATTGTGAGTCATGTTTCATTTTTGTAGCTTTCCATTAGGTATGTCAAAAGTGATCCAATTTATGTAACTTCTCCCCCTTACTTATAGGTGTATCTTCGAAATAGGTATAACAGAGTTGTTACAAAACTGTGATTTATATAATATTTCACTAATTTATTAAAAAGGTAAGTTATTCCACATTTATCAATAAATTAAAGAAAAATCTGGAATATTATAATTTAAGCAATTTCTCAAAACTAACGAAACATTAACTAATTTTTATCATATTCACCAACTTGATCACCATCTCAAAACATCTCCAAACATTTACGTCAAAACTAATTAAATGATTTAGAAGGAAGAAATATTTACTTTTGACTGCACCGTTGCATCTTCGAATTCATTGTTCTTTTTATCACCACCATTAACCGCGTACTGCCGGCAATTAGCGAACGCATTCACGTCGCCACTTTGGCCTCCGATGAAATTATTGTGCGCGAAATTGCCGGCGACCGGCGGCGGGCTGAGCGAATTGTCCGGTCCCGCGTCCGGGCTCAAATAGCTTTGATTAATATCGTATCTGCAGTTGCTGTACGCGTTCTCCGGCTTGACCTGGTACGGCGTCTCCGCGTAAAAACCGTACGGTAGATGATTTTGGTAACCGATGCCACCTGTATCGTCTTTGGCCGGCGCCGGAGCCGATGGATCGTAACCCGGAATTCTTTGGTTGTCGTAGAAGTTGTTTCTGGAAATATTCAAAAACTAAATTACCTTAATTTAAGGGATAGGTGCGTAGGTGCTTAATTAATTGGACACTAATTAATATATCTTATTTGCATTAATTGTTTTACAATTTTTAATGATCGATATCAGAACCTAAACAGAGTAGGTATGCAAAAATTGTTTATACCTATAACAAATCGATTCTCTTATACCACTGTATAAACATGAGCAAGTTAATTTCTTCATCTAAAAGGAAAATTTAATTGTTCCTACACCTTGATACGGTTTGAGCTTACTTTATAAGTTTCTAATAGAGTTTTTAATAACAGCTATTTTTAATAATTGTTTATGTACCTGTAATAGTGATTAGGATTCCAATATTCACAAGAAAAATCAGTGGAAGCACTCATATTGTAAACTGTTCACCTCACAAACACATACACTCGGTCTTCACATTGACATGAAATTGCAACTAAATCTGGCCTTCGGTCCAGGCACGTTCGGATTGATGTCGAACATTGTCAACTGTACCCCTGAAAGTATAAGCGGGAGGGGTTACGACCCCCTAAGGTTTGTCGCCGGCTCTTTTATTCAGCCCAGCTGCCCTGCGTAACTTACCCACCCCCGACCATTCGGCTTTTTCATATTTATTAGGGTATTGGCACTATTGGCAACGGCATCAACGCAGATTGTGAAAGTTTGGAATTTCATTTTGTGTGCGTGCATGCGAAGTTTTCGGCTAATTCGGAGTTCGCATTGCCTTATGTCTCTATTTGCGGATTAACAAAAATATGTGCTATATGTTCTGGAAAATATATATTGCTTGGGAGGGTTCGATGCGATTGTACCAATTTCCTGATGTAATTACCTACATTCTTTATTGAAAAAATAATATCCTATAAGAGATCACTTATTGAGAATCATTATTATGAAACGTAGTTGTATTCGAAATTAATTCCAGATAAGGAAAGCGTATGATTTATTTAATAAGTAATTTGAACAAAAAGTCAAAACTATTATTTTTGAAGAAAAAGCTTTCCATTTCTATATACACTTTCCAGAAAGTAAAATCCCTAAAACTTTCGCTAGAATTTCATCTTCGCACTTTTATTGCCATCGTTGTTTACGAAACCCATGATCAAAGATGATGGACTCATTGAACGTTCGAAAATAAAGTTTGACAGACTTGTAAATCCTGGCAATGTCCCTATAATAAAATTTACAGCGTGTTCGCTTATTGTGCTAAATGCGGGCTGTAAAAGTAAAACGGTGAATAACGAATTGTTCGACGTTCTCGGAAGGTATTCCATGGCCTAGATTTTTTTAAGGTCTTCGAATTTTACCTGCACGTACACCGTTCGGAAAATAGCGTAACAGATGATGCAGAAATGTTGCATCTAACACTGCATATAGGTATACTGGTATAGGGTCAAGTTTCTGTATATGACATGTATGGATAACCAGTGTATGGGTCTTTCTGCTAGATTAATTTTGAATATAAGGTATTGAGTTTTACATAGGAAGAGTCAGGTATTATTCACACTGTAAGTATTGATGGTGATTTTGATTTATTATTGCAAAAATTATTCGCCACTCTATAAAACCCCCTATATCCATACTATGATACTTTTAATTGAATAATGAATAATTATTCTGTATAGTACATGAAAAAATTGTTCATTATTTAATATTATTCCTGATCGTAAATATACCTTCACAAAACGACTTTTAACACTGCCATCAGTCAACTTTTGTAAATCCTTGTAATGATGTTTATATCCTAATAAATATTAAAGTTAATAATTAAATAGCTATTACAGCTTATCCATTGTAAAATGAACGCGTATGTTATTGCTCCCCAAGTTTTCTTTAAAGTTCATATACCGTAAAAAGCCCCGGACCCTTTTTCAAAAATCCCGCAGCGGGTGTACTAAAAAAACATTTACATAAACCGAATCGGCACATAAATCTCGCGAATCAATTTAACGCGTACTTCATACGTATTAAGCGCAATTGAAATTTCACATTCTAAGATACGTGCGTGCGGCCATAATTCATTCATTGACGCGTCATGCGAGGCTCCCCTAAGCCGAAGGTGCCAACAATAGAGATGCGTCGTGCGATTCTGTAGCCGATCATTGAATGGGAACCAATCACTATCGGATGCGATGTGCTCTTTTGTTGTCGCTGTGGCGCGTTTGCCTTTTTCTGACCGGGGGTGGACGACGATGTATCGGAAGGGAAAGAGGGTGCTTTTTATTCCTATTTTTTTTTTGGTTAAAATGTGCGTTTATTGTGTTTATTTTTGGCGTACGGATAGATGTATTAGTGTGCTTGGTTAATTGATGATGTTCATGGTTTCGTACAAATATAGCTTTTAAATAAAATAGGATTTTTCACAACATGCATCGGGTCGGTGATGTGAGAGACGTTAAAAAACATTTTGAAGCATTTAAGAAATGACTAGGGTCATTTAATACAATTCAGAACAATTTTGAACTCTACAAAATCATTTAGAACAGATTCAGAACTTTTGAAACGGTTCATGATAAACTAGAAAAGTTCGGAACGAGAAGAACGCTTTCAGAACTATTTAGAATCATTTTTTTAGACTATTTAAAATATATCAATTGAAAAATTGACTGGTTAGTTAAATTTTCTAATAAAATCTATAAATTTCCTTGTAAAACCTTGCAATCTAAATGTATTTTTCCTATGAGACCATATCACCGCAGATAGATCCGGTGTAACACGTATTTAAAAAAATAATCCATAAATAAAATCTTAATCAACCGCTAAAATCAACATACTAATGTTTTATTTATCAACCACAATAGCTTAATTGAAAAAAATATCCACCGAGCAAAAGGGCATATCGACTGTATTAAAATAATCAATGGTAGTGGCCAGTGTGAGTATGAATAATGAACGTGTATTCGTACAGTTGCTGTATATGATTAGAGCGTGATCATTAATAATGCTTCGGTCAAGAAAATTATATATTTTACCCACAAACTGTCATGACGTCATATTTCATCATTCGGTCTTTTCGAAATGCCATTAATTAATCAGAACTGTGCGAAAATGCGTATATATGAATGCGTATAACCACTGGTTTTCTTTAAACGCGTGTTTAGTAACTCGTTTATTAATTTTATTATGACGTGCAAAGGGCAAATTAAGCGATTAAAATTAAAATTGCGATGCACAAGAATTTTAAAGTTATGTCACAGTAAGTGGTATTTATATGAATTGATTTATTGTAATTAACATTTCCGTGGGTTCATATGATATAGCTTAATTTTATTCAACATGATTCTATTGTAGGCAGATTTTATGACAAATTTTATTTACACAATTGAATGATCGATGGTAGTTTGCAATGATAATTTTCTAAAAGGGTACAGGGGTGCTATTTATTAATCCCCCATTTAACTTGCATCTATTGGGGAATCTTCGTAATTGTCTTCAACTTTGAATGTTTGAGACGTATGATGTGAGAGTTTTAAAACTTTTGATAAAATCTTCATTGACCTGATGTTTGCGCTTTGCGCTTGTTAAATTCCATCAGTAAAGTCTTCAGGAAATCTTCTCTTGTAAGGAGTTTGCAGGAATATTGGCGAAAACTTGATCTTAATCCTTTTAATACTTCGTCGCCCCGAAGTATTAATTGTTCAGTGTTGAACAACCCCGAGTCGACATAACATGCCTTGATTGACAACTAAGGGCCGGATGATGATTAACGAGACGTTTCACAAAATGACGGTTCCTAAACTGAACTTCCTCCCTCAACATTGGCCCTTTCCATGGGCGTCGATTCCAGGCTCACCTTGAAGAAAATTAATTAAAAACATTACTTCTTCTATCGTAGTTACATGAAAAAGTAAAAGAATTTGTTTAAATAAACTTACATATAAAGATATGAAGATAAACATACATATATCCTATAATAATCCTTGATGGTAGTATAAAAATCCTGTTTCACACTGTTTCTAAAATTCACTCAATTGGTATGGAATCACCAACAATTATTCCAAAATAATTTTTATTTTTATTGCAAAATTAATATTTATTGAATATTGTATTGCTATTATCTATAACTGTATATTTATTCATTTTGCGTTTTAAATTAAAGAGGAAACGCTCATGGATCTTCCCCTAATCGAAAAGATGCCGGGCAACAAAAACCCTAACTTGCAAGTTAAATCGTTGTAGTCTCTCGTTTTAAGGATTAGATTTGTCTGCATTTTTCTAAAACGGCCCCGGTTTCTGTTCTAGTTCGGATAACCTTTTGAGAAAACGCCGTAAACATGCCCTCCCGTTGAAACAACGATGTTTTTAATCAGCGTAGATAACTATTTGGGTAATTAAACTTCCACAAATTAACGTAACGATTTAATGGATCTTTTCGGAATCGTTTTTCATTAATTTCCGCGTTTTTTGTCGATAATTAATTATTATTTATGTTATTTTTTTGGAAGTATACCTACCTCATGTTTACATATGAAATAAAAATGATAATTTGAGAGTAAAAAAATTATTCAATGGATTGTTTCTATGTATATTTCAAGTTCCCATTATTTTATGAAGGATAGAATCTAAAGTGAATTTAGAAAACTTCAAAACTAAATCATTTTTTTGCCATAGTTTTTGCATATCGTGAAGGCAATGAGGAAAAAATAGTTTTCTTTTTTATACACGCGGATGGATTCAATGAACATTGCTTGTTTACATACGATTCTCCTTTATTTTCGGAATAAATTTGAGTTTCACGCTTCGTTCACATATCATTTTCTCGTCAGATTCGTTGAATTTTATTCAAGAATTCGCCGATAATTGATCCGAACCCTAGCGGAGCGCGAGTTTACAACTCCACGGTATGCGTTCCACCGTTCATCTACTCTTCTTTTCACAATTTGGCATTTGTACGGAATACAATCCATCAACGTCAACAGTCGGGTTGTTTTCTCTCAGCCGCCCCGTCGAAAATGCTCCCCTCAGGCGCCCCCTGCGCCCCTCGCTCGCCCCGACAAGCCGACAATAACCCACTGGTATGGATGGACGATTTTTGTCATTTATTATTGGTCTGCGTCGTCGATTGATTTTTCTAGTGTGTGAGCTTCCACTATGACGAGTTAATTTCTGACCCAAATAGATTTTCGACTGGTCAAATTGTTTTTATCGAAGCACTTCATCCCAAGGGATGATTCATTTTCTATAAATTGTATACACTACTGTATTGTAAAAACAACGATTCCCCTAAGTAGTTATACGGAGTCAAAAACAATAATTACAATTATTTCTTACCTTTAGATAAAAAAGTACATCAAGAGTAAAGAAGCCACAGTAAGTTAATATTTTTTATTTCCCTAACGAACAGGTAGCAGTTGAAACGGATCATGCAGAGCTT